CGCTCGTTTACGCTCATTAGTGTTTTTAATTATAATAATATATTTAATGACTACATATATTTATACTTTTATTAACCATATCTTGATACAATAGGGAATTCTATGCATTCGCATAAATTTCATCGTGGCGTGTCATGTCGTAGGCGTATGGTGACATGTTGTATCGTGGCGTGTCTTATCATGCCACATCGTGTCGTGTCGTGTCGTATCGTATCGTCGTTTTGTTCCGTTTCGTTTCGTTCACAGCGGTCAGCGGATGGTCTGTAGTTTTAGAAGATAACAATAAAGACTTTGTTCTAAATAAGAACTATCGATATCGGCGGCTAAATAAGAGCAATATACACACCTTTCAATTTTTTGACCAGTCAGTCAAAAGGCATGTTGGGGGATTATTATGCAGAGCTTCCAATTGAAATGGCCCATAAAATTGTCAAGTGGAATTGTGTTTTTCGGAACCCCTAAGAAAATGTCTCCCTCTTACATGCACCCCTCCCTGATCAATCACGCATTCAGGCGTAAACAATAACAGAGATGAAATTGTGTTGAGTTTGTGGCTCTTGACGCACGTGCATTGACGTACAAGACTGTTGAAAGCACAGGCACTTGGAACGTCTCAATAAAAATAAATATTCACAAAATGTTTCACAATGACCCACCGCCTGTGTGCAAAATAGGTGAACGTATGTGAAACATTTACGGTTAGTACTTACTGTCACAAATCCGTGACTAACTGACACCACTAAATTGGTAAAATGTTCCATGCACCTTAAGAAATTCTGAGAAATTGCGAGGTTATCATCGCAGAACTCCTGACACTGCCCATCCTGATGTCACAAAGCTATATGTAAACAAACAGGCGTGTTACGAGGTGCCTGCTTCCGATATCCATTTCGAGGCCCGCTAAGCCAAGCATAAAGCGCGTGGGCAAGACGACACACACACAGCTACGTTCATTGGCAAAAAAAAATCGAGTAGCGCGGTCAGGGATTTTCAGAATTCTTTAATTTTAAGAAAAACTTCAATGTTCAATGAATGACGCACTCGTTCACTTCCGAAAGCGGGTAAAAATGCCAAATTTTTCCACTTCGATGCAAAATGCATCGGCCGGGCCTTTCATTATTTACGAAAAGCAAACGGTCTCGCCAAACACCTACACGCAGTAACTGGTCACGTCGTTGAAGAAGACACCCATCAACGAAGAAGGCGGGGCTTATTCTGATTACGGAGATGCGAAAATGCAACAGAAAAGACTTAGCGCAGTGCGCTAAACAGCGTGTTATTTTCGTTTTTGTGCCAAACTCTATCGTAGGAAACCGTTCTAGCCTAGCAGAATGCCCTAGTTCTTGAGATCGGCGATTCCGTACGTCGATGGGTCCCCACCTTTGAAATTATAACGGAGGGGTGCGGCGTACGCTGTGATTGGAAGACACAAAGTGTCAATCCTCGGCGCGCCTCGGCATCATGGCCGCATCGTCACGTCCAGAGCTCGCATCGTCATTTTTTGGCTAAAATTGAGCAAAATGTAGCCATTTCGTACCATGAAACAATGTTTATGGCAACAAATTATGCTGGAAAGTTGTTAGTAATACTTATTCAATGTAATTTAGAGCAATTTGAAAGTTTATGGTTGCTTAATAAAGAATTATGATTTGAAACCAGAATATTGTCATTTTTTCACTTAGGCGCCCAACCGAAAATCACATATTAAGCTGCACAGAAAAAAACGTACACAAGAAACGACCCAGAAGTGTTACCCAAACTTTTTTGGAGAGTCCTACCATAAGGAATGAGAAAATATAAGGTTTTACTCTAAAAGAGTCATGTACACGAACATCCCCCCCCCCAGAGCTAGGAGTAATTAGCACGTATACACTAGCTGACACGTCATCAAGCAACGCTATCTCAGCCAATAAACAATCATCGTTGAAATAAGAGTCACAGCGATTCGCATCTGTAGCTCTATAACTAACGATTCACATCTGTAGCGCTACAGCTGACGATTCCAATCTGTAGCTCTATAACTGACGATTCCCATCTGTAGCTCTATAACTGACGATTCACATCTGTAGCGCTATAATAACGATTCATATCTGTAGCGCTATAATAACGATTCACATCTGTAGCGCTATAATAACGATTCACATCTGAGAGCGAAAAGATAAATTAAGCCCACATTGGCTATATAACAGAATGGTCAATATGCACGAGCTTTTACACTGATAACATCACATTGATCGTAATTAATGTACTCTTCGTGATAATTGAATATCGCGCCAGTATTATAGTTGATTAGCCGCATGTCGTGACAGAAAACAGAGAACAGCTCATGTTTGTTGTCAGGCGTTTGTTCAGACAAAAATACCTGCGGATCGCCCAGAAGCCCGCACATTGAAGATAAACAGCGGTTCGCAGATACTGAATTTGCCTAACCCAGCATGATTTATTATGTGTTTTTTAACAAATAATAATTGATTCAAACCAGCATCGCGATACACAACAAAAAACAACAAGTCGGACGCATTGTATCAAGTGTGTATATATATAAAGCATGTTTGAGTAACTACTTGTATGACAGCTTTGGACGTATTTGCGTATTTCTCACATAGCGGCAAAGCTTTTTATACATTGTTTTGTTTATTACATTATTATTTAATTACCGTATGAACAAATAATTAACGTTTAATGTAAACTTCGGTCGCCACGATTGAAGCGAAGGGTATAACTGATTCATTTTCCCCGAAACCTAATCATTGAACAGTTTATAGACGTTTTAATAATATACCGCGGTAATAATACCATGTCCGCGATTCTTTTCGCGTAGTCTGTTATGCAGTTATGCAGGCGCCGTGTTGTGTTTGTGTTCGCAACGTTCGTTGCGTTTGTGTTCGCATCGTTTAGCGCGGCGGCGCCCGCATCTCGTGGATTATCGAGGAGAGCCACTGCTTCTGTTCTGCTGTCACGATGCGGACATATGCTTCGATAGAAGATTCGTTTGCGACGGAAAGAACAATTGCGTGGACGGATCTGACGAGCTGCCAGATACCTGCCGTGAGTTCTCGGAACACATTCACTATTATCGGTTATAGTTCTCGCACGAGGAGGCTATTGTTTGGTTATGTGTTGTTTGGTGGGGAACACCCTTCTCTCGTCAACAGAGCGAACCGGTTAGAGAAAGGGTCATAAAAAAATAAGCCCCACGATGAAAGCATATAAATTCCTATGCGCAATAAATCGGAATCCAAACACGGAAAATACACGGAAATGCCGCTGCAGGCACCGAACGGGCACGCAGTCGCCGACAGGCCGTCAGACACACCACACAACACAACACAGAGTTCACACCACACACACAGCACACACACACACACACACACACACACAACACACACACGCACACACACACACACACACACACACACCGACACACGTACACGCATATTACTATATCAGCACACGCCAATAGCACGCACTGTAAACGTCTATTGTTTACAATGGATTAGTCGAGTGGGAGGAAGAGACGGTAGGTATGTTATAGTTCATGATAGATCTAGCTGCTGGACGGAACGTCGCCGCAAGTATTCGGCGCGCCAATTGCTGTCTACATGCTGGGTTGGATAAGCAGGGGTTTAGCTGGCCCGTTTCGAGGAGTCAGTGTGAAAATGAGGGGAACGGCATTGGAAAGCTAGACAGCAACGGGGTGACATGTGCGTTCAGCTATGTTGTTAGGACATTTTGCGGCGATAACCTAGAGAGAGAGAGCACTGTAAGGAGCGAGAACAGAGGAGATTTCTGGTTCTGCAGCCGAGCTGAGCCACACGCAGCGAAATGCGCGTGTGCCGGCGTTCCTTTGTCCTCTTTGTGCGATGTGACCGACCACAGTGTTCTTGAGTAATTAAAGATTGTAACACGTTTACGCCACGAACAAGTTTCGTTGGGTGGAACACAACTCCTGTCTTCTACATCAATTTCGACATCAACTCTCACTACCTGTTTACATCTGTGCGGCGCTCGAGACCGCAGCCCTCAAAACACCCTGGGCTATTCCTTTGCGGAGGCAACGCTAAGGCTACTACACTTCATTATACCTCGATCTCATACTACGGACCATACACACAAGGAATATGGGAGGACAGGAAGATGAGAGGAAGGACAGCAACGCACGCATCCGAGAGCGGAACGAACGGCGGCGCAGAGAGAACGATCGGACCTCAAAAACGCGAAGATGTACGAGGCAGAATCGACCGGGGAGCGCAGACTGGGCCGCACGACCCGACCTGACGGATCGGCGACGGCCGAGGACGAGGCTGCGGCACGATGCGTGGCAGAAGGAGGACTGTTGCTGACGCCGCGTCCGTCCAAGGTTGTCAACCGGAGAGAGCGAAGGAATCGCCAAAAAAGAGAGGATAGATCTCCGACGAAAGGAAGAGACAGCGTAGGATCAGTGCACACGAAAGAAAAGAAGGCACAACCACAATAAAGGAGCAAGGAACGCAGAGATGAACCCGACAGTCGGAAATACTCTAAAGATGGGTATGTGAATCAATTCTGTGTCGGCAGTTCTTTCGTAAATTCAAAGTGAAAACGTTAGTTTATAAACCGTTAATACTCGGGATTTTCCTGTAATGACCACCCAGGCAGAGCATGCCACCACACGTTTTTTTATCCTGATATCTGTCTTTAGTTCAAAAAGGTCATGTACTGTTAATGTCCCCGATGCCTATATTATATACTCTGCTATGCGGAGCGGAAATAATACTTTTGGAATAAGAAACGCCCGACAACATTTGTTTCACGACGCTTAATTATTTAACTGCCCATTGTATGTATGTAGGTTTTAGCTGGTTGTTTTATGACACGCGTATTTGTCTTATGATATACTGACTTCTAACCGTTTTTTTCTGTGTGTGAAAATCTTTGTTGTTCAACACCTCTTGTTTGAGAAATTTGCTGACTCGCTTTCTGAAAATTTGTGATAACCAGATGCACGCGTACCGTGTTCCACTGATTTGGTCTAGACCGCTGGAACACCATTTCAATCAGGGTTTCGACTATAGGCCTACAAACATCCTCCATTGGAACACATACTGACAGATCCCTTTTGCGTATTCCTTTATTGGCTTTCACGAATGTGTACGATGTGTGGAAGTGAAGCAAAGGGTTGTCAAGTCCCACGTCGTTGCTGTGTATTAAGGCCCTGTGTGCCTGGCTGTGTGCCCTGGATTATGAGGGATATTTTGCATAATCAGGCTTTCTGATATAAGGACAGCAATGGCTGAAAACGTGGCTTTCGGTAATGCGTGTTGGTACACCGCCACTTCGCCACCGTACGTTACAGCATAAAAATACGCAAGAGTGAGATCAATTGCACGCGATATCACAGAACTGTTCATTCGCAAATGTGGTTGAGTTTCTTGACTGTATATTGTGGGAGACCCTTGTTACGTTTACTCTGTTTCTAACGTTCATATGTGATCTCTTATTGTATTTGATTGATGTATGTGTATTGATTGTGGGTGATTTATTCCGAACAGAAAGCACGTTTGCTCTTGTTGGGCTTTGAGTTAGGAGGATATCAGGGTCGGTAATTTTTTTAATTGGTTAGGTTCAGTTAAAGTATCAGAGCCAGCGAGGACGCTGAAGCGAGTGACGCTACCTAAGCTTCATCGTCTTTGGGGCAAAGGGAGACTATGTAAACGTCTAATCTCCGTCGTCAA